CCAGATCTTGCCCAGCACTGCCTTCAGCTGGAACACGCGGCTCACAGCCGCATCCCAGCAACCGGGCGGAGATGCACGGGTCGGGTCATGCAAAAAAGCTTAAATCATTGCTACATCTAACTACCACAACCATTCCTTAGGGGGGTCCTTGTTATAATAAGTAGAATATATCCCGACGCCCTATTCTAATCATAAAGTCCCTATCATAAGGTTTAGGGACTGGGTCTCCGGTCATGTCGTCAAGCTGTGAGCAAAGGCTGTCTGAAGCGATCGGCTACATCCATAGCCTCGACGTCATTCACCGCGACATCAAGCCTGCCAACGTGCCCCAATCTGCAAGGGCAGTTGTCATGCTTGCTTGACCTGCTTCACCCTGATCAAGTCCACACACAAGGGGTATCCAAGAGATACCCCAAAGAAACCAAGACGGAAGGTGGATCGTCAGGAGGAAGGCACGAGTGGAGGATCAAGGAGGGTGCCGAAGTAGCTCATTGAGCGAGCGCACCATGCTGACACAAGTGCAAGCGACGCAGGACGGAGTGCATGAGACTTGTAATGGGCACTCGTGCGCACCATTGACAGGAGGGATTGCGGAATGTGCGCCGGTCGTAGGCCGCGTTGCGAGGGTTGTTTCTGCCAGCACCAACAGTTCGTGAGTGTGCGAATTGCGAATACTCCCGATGACAAGCCGGCCTTTGGAGGCCCAGGTATTCAAGAAGTCACTGGTCTTGAGAATTCTCCGAACTCTCGTGTGCATCGAATGACAGACCTTTGATTGGGAATAGTTAGGACTTGCCCTGCTCCGGCAAGGTCTTGACCAGGTTTGAGCGTGCTGCTGGTCTTACGGCCCTGAAATTGCACCTTAGTTTGAAGATGACCGTACCAATTCCGGGCACCGGACAGCAGCTTCCCACCAGCAAGTGTCGGGTGTCCAAGGTCCGACTTCGGTTTGGCCAAAGGTGTCCAGGACGGGAATTCCTGTAATTTCCTCTGTAAAGTCTCTGAAGCTCGCAAGTTCGATCGGGAGATTCGGTTCGATTTGGGAATACTCCAGTAGTGGCAGCGGTCTGGTGGTGTATTCGCAGGCACTCAACAAAGGCTAATTTGCAGTTAGGAGTCATAGCGCCACGATCGCCGCGAGTGCAGCAGACAACGACGAAGTCCTGCCACTCCTGCTACTGCTCTGCTCCGCCGCCTCCTCCTCCTCCTCCTACTATTCACACGTCTACATTCATGCACTCCTACAACACTACTACTACTACTACTACCAC